TAGTTGATTTTCCCATTCAAAATGGTAATTTTCCATAGCTATGTTAGTTTACCAGAGGGTAGGAATCTGTTGGTTTCAAGGTTTTTTTTTTCCGGTGAAAATTCAGACAGACGCCTGTCCATATGTGGATGCTGAGAAAACAGAAAGTATCAAGATGTATCAAGGATCCGAGGGAACCAACAACAGTAACATTAATATTAACATACATTAACATTACTTCCTAAAGGTTTCCCAACCTTCAAGAAAACCTCATAGAATCTCCTCAGGTCCTTTTTCCTAGCCGTTTTTTGCAGGTCGTGGTTAGAGGCCACGGAAGCTCTCTTGGGCTTGAACACTTCAAGCTCCTTAGCCTTGTCGCTTGGCCGGTCAAGTTTTTTTGTGTTGAACTGGATTGTTTGTTGGTGGACACACCAACAAAGATTGCATTTTTGAAAGACAATGACACGGGGATATCTGATGGGAAAATATCGTGAAATCTCTTTGAGATGCTGAAAAACATAGTCGGTAGATACCCCATTTTTTGGCAATTTTCATAGGGAATACCATGATGAAGCACTCGATTTTAGGGGTATACCGGGTACTTTATTGTTGGACTATTTTTTTTGGGAAAAATCAACCTTCAACGGGGCTGCAGAAATTCTTTATTGTGAGCTGTTGAAAAAAAATACTCCACCGAGACACGCCACTGATCCCTACCAGAATGAGATTTCTGCCACCAAGTTGGGACGGATTTGCGGGAAGCTGTCCGTTAAATGGACCTATTTCGAAATGGGCCATTTTCCATAGGTCTTACAGAACCAGAAGCTACACAGCGGAGGAATTGCCCTCCATCCATATCCCATATCACTTAAGCGACTTGCCATTTGCAGGATGAACCACCAAGTTCCCAACAAACTGCTGCTCAAAAATCAAGTTTGCAAGCAAGTCAAAGCTGTAAAATCCATGATTCTTGCAGCTCAATAATTATGAACCACCAGTTCCAATCCAAAAGATGAATGAAATACCTTGTTTAAATACCCATTAATTATAGTTACATCCAAAAAATCATACCACATAATCATCCCAGAAAATCTGAAAAAAAGATCCCATCAAATCCCACATTAATAGATTCGATTTAGCCACTCAAAATAACCAATTACCAGTTGCTACATCAAAATCCTGTTCAACATGAATCCATGGATGGTCGGTTCGCCTCGACGCTCGGATCCGCGACGCTGGGATCGTCCCAGGTTTGGACTTCCCGTCTTTCTGGCCGCCACGGTGAATGGCTTTGACGATGCTCGAAGGTGCCGGAGCTCTTCAGGGAGGGAGAAATTGATACAGGAAGGATTGAAAATATACAAATATATATAGATACTTATAGTATTATAGCCCTTAACAGATATAACTGGCTTAGAACTGGCTTATAACCTCATTGAAGTGATATATACTATTAGGGTCCAGCTTGTGGAAGCCGAGTTTTATGCATAATCCCAGCCCCCATTTTTGGGTTCCCCGTGTAGGCTAGTGTTAGTGTCATCTCTTTGCAAGCATGTGCTTGCAGCGTGCAACCCTGAAGCAACTGTCAGAAGACTCTGCAAGCTTTTGGCCAGAAGGAACTTGCCCTGGGTGACCCTCACCTTGACGCACTTGCTGCGAAGCCATGTCGTCAGAAGCAGCACCTGCTGATGTTGCGGCCGTTGCGCCGCCGGCAGACCGTTTGGCAGATTTGAAAGCAGCGCGACAGGCGCTGAAGCGGCAGTTGGCGCAAGCAACCCGAGAGGTGAAGAGCCAGGACATAGACTGGTGGCCATCAGACATGGTATAATGTCCTGTCTTGATCAATGCTAGCTTGTTTGCAGCAAATTGTCTGTGCCGGGCGCAGGAGAAAAAACGCCGTCGCATCATGCAGCAAGCTGGGAAACTGAGCACGGCAGATTTGTCGTGGCTGTTGGCGGTCAAGGTTGCCAATGGTCGTCCCTGATGTTTGCAGTTTGTCTGCATGGGCATGTCTCTGACAAGTGCAGAGCTATGCAGGAGACTCTGTGTTGGTATTTGCCCGTGAAGGGCGCCAATGTCGTCCTGCATGTGTTACAATGGCACGCACACGCGTGAGGAAGTTGCAAGTTTGCACACGAAGTGTGCACCTATGTCTGATTAACAACCTGACGCCAAAGGTGTCTGAAAACAATCGCAGCCGGCCACTCATGTTGCATGTTGGCTGTGGGAAGTGAGAGCGATTCAGTCAGTGGAGTCAGACGATTGCTTTGCATAGTGGCTGTAGGAGTGATTATTCAGATTCATTCATTGGATTCAGAGGCCTGCTTGATTGACGCACCACTGTGTGACACATAGCACACGCCGTATCCTGTCAGTGATTTAACATTCTCTTGCTGCGGCGGCAGCGATGGATGCTGGTGCGCTGCGGCCGTTGCGCCTGGTGCGTGCACGACCTGGCGATGCTGCTGCCGTTCTGGGGCCTTTGCGCCTGGTGCTGGCGGCTGGTGCTGTGCCACATTGCATCTGGGCACATGGTGCAGCTGCCTGTCCAGGGGGGAAGTGACTCTACATCTAGCAATTGTACCCTTGGTTTCTTGGTTCATGTTAAATTCCCATGTTTGATGGTGATTTCTCGCCAGTTACCCATAAGGCTCAATCAATGATATAAGCCCATCGTTTGATAAATCCCCAATGGTCAACCGCGGTGCACCACCATAAAAAATGACTGGCGAATCCCTATATGGTTAAAGTGATTTACCCACTGGTAAATTAACATAGACCCTTAAAATCACCAAGGTTTAATGGCAACTAGTCTTCCATCCCTATCTCCCACGGTCTATGTTAATTTACCAGACGGTAAAACGCTGTTGAGGTCTATCAATCTTCCCCGGTTCGACCACCACTTTTGATGGGTAACCAACCAGCATGACACCCAGTTCCCAGGTCTAGCATCCGCAAAATGAGGGTGCTTGCATGAATTAGTAGATTGTCGGAAAAGGGTAAATGATAACGACCTCAATCATCCCCAAATGGCCAAACCATGCAGGTGAGTGAACTATTGGGATTGCAATGTTTCATGACAGCAAATGTCAAAGATGATATGGGATGATAGATGCGTACGTACATATATTTGTATATACATATATTAATATAAGAGAATATTATATAATTAGGAACAGATTTGGTCAATTGGGGGGAGCGAACCGCTCCGTGCGTAGCAACTTCGAAGCACACCCCCATTTGATTAAATCGGTGTAGGAACCCCCCCAGCGGATTAGATAGCTTGGTTGCTGGATATTATATAAGGGTTGGTTGAACCGGGAACCTCCCTATCTCATCCGCGACAATATTTTTGGGGTTATGCTAATTTTTGGGAGTGTAATGACCCCCTAAAGGATGGATTGCCCAATTCAAGGAATGTTGATGCCTGAATTGCCCTATCCATCCAAAACCACCAAAGGGGATAATGACTGGAATAAAATCTAGGAGACGCGGACAGAAATTCTATGAGACACAGCTGAGCTTTGCCAAACGCAAAACTTTAGGTTTGAAGAACTTTGAAACGACTTCAAGGTGGATTCTTTAGAAAAGACAAGTCGGAACATACCCCAGAAAGCCTTATATCGATCTAGATAGACATGTGATTTGGAGAATAGAGACCTCGAAATAAAATGCGTACAAGAATCAGTAGTTTTTTAGGAGATGGCTGATATGAAACTGGTCGCTTCCTCATCCCAATGCGTTCGTTTCACTTTTCAATACAATGGTCGAGATGAAAGTCGGTGATCGGGAATGTTCGTGATCCGGGTCGAAAGGAAAAGAATGTTCGAGATGCAAGTCGGTGATCGGGACTGTTCGTGATCCGGTTCGAAAAGCCAATGCTTCGCGTTGGGAATTTCAAGCATTCAATGCCATGCTGCATTTTGAAAAAAAACAGGAGATGTGCACATAAAGATCAGTCTTTTGGTTTTACCTGGTTCAAAGCTGTCAGCATGAAAGTGCTCAAGAGCCCGCTTTCCGGTCATTAGAGTATTTCATTCTAGTACCGATTCTAGATAGCGATAGACATGTATATGGAGATATATATAGATCGAGAATAAAAGAGCGATAGAGAGATAGAGAAAGACATGGAGAGAAAGGTATGTATATATATAATAATATAATGTCGATGAAAAGATATATCTACGTAGGTATAGATATGTATGTATAGGTCTGTAGACCCAGAGGAGGAAGAAAAGCACCATGCCTGTGGGAAGGGACACCTTTAGAATGGTGGCGACACAGAACAACATGCTTCAACATGGTCCTCCAACCTCGCTTGTAGCTACAAATAATTCTATTCTCCCAGAGGCGGATTTGGAGGACCGCCATTTTTGCCCCCGTTTTTCCATAGTTTTTCCCGTTGCTTGGTCCTCCGCGGTCCTCCGACCGATCCTGTCCGTGCTGTCGTCTGGGTTTTGTCGCAGTCCATACCCGTCGCTTGGTCCTCTCCATGCTCCTGCCAAGGTTTTTCAGCCATGCAAGCGCTGGGACAACAGTCTCGAGTGGCGCGGAAAGTCCGTGCGTACTTGACGAAAACAAAGCTGCTGAGCCGCTGCCCACACTTGTTTGCCTTGTAGTCTTTTCTTTGGCCCGCTCTTGTGCATTGCACTCTGTGAAAGACCAGCTATTATACCAGTTATGGCCATTCACCAGTTATAAGTAGTCATAACCCCATTTCGACCTTATAGACTCCCATTTATAACCAATTTGAACTCATCAATGTCCAGAACTGACGCGTCTATCTCCTGCTCCTCTATGGGAAGCTTGCTTGTCCTCATGCCTGCGAGCAGGCTTGGTCTGCTGTTTGGGTGCCGCCGCCGTGCCCACATCCAGACAGAGCATGGTGAGGCATTGCATGCTGTTCATTGTACGGTCGCTTTGTCATCGACTGCTTAGCTGCCAGGGTATTAACTTCCCATGAGGGCCCCTTCATGTCACGCAGCAAAACAAGAACATGATCATTGAGCCACAGTGCCGCCATGCCTGTCCGACGGCGACTCTGTGGTAAGCAGCCGCCGCCAGACGGCCCCCCTGACCGGGAGGCACGCAAGCAGCTGCTGATATGGCTGCGCGACAAATGGGCTGCGCAGCGAATGGCCGCTCGGAATGAGCACGGACACGCCAAGCGGCAGCGGTGGAGAGCTTCATTTGCACAAGCCGACAGGCCGCAGATTTTGCGCGACATGTTGCCGCAAATTCCTGTGAAGTTTGCACGTGCTGCACGTGACCTACTGGCAGGGTGGCATGTCGAAGAGCCGATTGTCAACGAGCCATCGCCGCAAGCATACAAGGGCACTGGTACTATGTTCCGATACAGTGGCTCCTTTAGCATGATTGAGCATCAACCTTCCTTGGACCTGCTTGCGGCAGGACCATCTGTCGACATTGATCTGCTCAGTGCCGGCCTACGAAACGCACCGCAGGTGCTTGCCATTTGGGATGACTTTCAAAGTTGGATGACCGAGCTCGGCAACAAGTACCGCTTTGAACGGGTCAGCACCGCCCTGGAGCTCCACACAGAGGTGACGCTGCAACGCAGAGTGCCTTCCATTCACTTGCACATGATGTTTGACACCCGCGACTCGGCAGCAATGCGGGCACCTCTCTCGCAAGCCTGAATCATGTCATTTTTTCTTTCATTCCCAGTGCCAGTCATTCTTTTTCGCAGCCCAATGTGAGGACGCACCTTCCCCATACTTTTCGGTCCTGTTTCATGTTTGGTTCTGATGGCTAACAGAACCAGATAGGCTCTAGCACCGTACCTTCCTGGCCCATGCACCCGCATGTTGCGGCCAGGGCGACAAGTGCATCTGTCTGGACAAAGTTTGGCATTTCGTGGGTGCAAGCCGCACATCTCCTTGGATTCCTCGCAGGCTCGTGGGCGGTCAGTCCGTCGTGCACTGGATCAAGGGCACTTTTATCTCCAAGTGGAGAAGAAAGGGTCCATTTTTCGCCAGACCACTTGCCCAGCATACCAGACTTTCACAGTGAGCCCCGACTGGGTGACTGGACTTTGGCAGGGGGATAAGATTAACAAGGAGTGTGCCGAGCAGCACTACGTCCAATGCAAGCGCAACATTCGTGCTTACTGTGAGAACCTGAAGTACCATGGCCAGAAACAACGGGAGCTGTACATTCAGCAGCAGCAGGCTGCTGCAGCAGAGCTCTTGCGCCCACTGCAGAAAGAGCCAGTGGAACTACCAGAAGTGACGCAGCTGTTCTTGCCACAGTTCACGCGGCCTATGCATCGCCGAAAATTCTTGGTGCTGAATGGCCCAACGCGCCTGGGGAAGACTGTCTATGCACGGTCTCTCTTTGGCGCAGATCACACGTATGAAACCAATTGTTCCGGGGTGTTGGAGCCCGACATGAGGGAATATGATGTGCTACGGCACCGGTGTGTGGTGTTTGATGAAGCTAGTGTCCATCTTGTCTTGAAGCACAAAAAATTGTTTCAGGCGCCGCCTGCCGAAATTTCACTTGGGCACTCGGCGACAGGCATGTATGTTTATCGCATCTGGGTTTGGAATGTCGCTCTCATTGTCACATCCAATGTCTGGACCACCGAACTGGAGCAGCTCGCTGCAGAAGATCGGGAATGGCTAGAAGGGAATGCGATTCTCATTCAGTGTAGCCAGCCCTTATACAGACAAGACTGAGGCCACGCCCGGTTCCAAAAAAAGGGGTCGCCAGACGGTTGCAAACTAGCTGTCGTCAGTGAGGGCCCTTGTTGTGACATGCCGGCTGCTGTCAACGCAGCGCACTTGCAGACTTGGATTCCTTGGGTGTCACTTTGCAGCATGGCCACGTCGCTTGCTGCTACTTGCAGAGCTGGGACGGGCTCAGTTTGACTTCTGCGTCAGCATGGGTGACCGGCATGTTTCCATGTTTCCGTCAACACTGTTGCTCATTCTCTGAAGCATGAACTTTCAACAGTGTTTCCTTGTCATACAGCTTCTTTGGGCAAAACACATGGCCCGTAGGCAGGAGTCTCCATATTGTCTGCCTGTGTGACACACGGCTTGCCGGCGTCCCTGCGCATGCCATGATGCCGGATGCAGCTGCAGCTGAAGTAGTCCGATTACAGCAAGCTTTAGTGGCTAACCGGAACGAGTTGAAAGGCGCTTACCAGCAGGCCAGACGGCAGCAAAAGAGAGTGCAATGTTGTGGCCTGGGGCCTGCAGCTCGCCGAACGACCCTAGCTGTGTATGTGCTGTCCAACTACAACATAGCTCTCGCTGTCCGCGTGGCTTGCAGGTTATCCACGTACAAGCGCCCTGAGGATGCTGGGTTCCCAACAGCTGCAGCCCTAGAAGAGCTTTTTTTGGAATCCCCGCCAACAGACTGGCTTGAATTCGGCGAGCTAGCAGCGCAGAGGGCACACGCCTTTTTGGCAGAGGCCGCAACTTCGGATTGGGTGCGTGATTGCAATGTCTTGCATGGTGTGGCCCCTTCCTCGATGGACGTCTTCTTGCACTGGGAGCATGCCTTTATCGGCCATCAGCTCGACGTGGGTGTCCCTCCGCGACGCTACGTGAACAAGTGGGCGCAGAAGTGGCGTGCGCGTTGGGGTGTCCGCCGCAAAGTGTTGAAACAGGTGGTGCACAAGGACCCGGCAGTTTTAAAAGCGAAAGTCCCTTGGACGGGAGGAAACTGCTGCAGTATTTTGGCCCCCTTTTTGGGTCCAGATTCCGGACCCAAAAAAGGGTCCGAGTACGTTGCCGTATATTGTTTGCATGCACAGGATTAGCCTTAAGGGCCCCATTTCTGGTCCCAGTTTTCGGGTTTGTTTTGTCGCCCTCTATTGCTGCACCCTTTTGGATGCGTCGGTGTTGTTTCCACACCGCATGCTTTGTCCTGCAAGGTCAATGCTTTTTGGCGGCATCTGCGCTATCTATACCAGAAGTTTGCCGACCGAGACATTCTCATGTTGAATGTTGATGAGACGAGCGTAGGGTATACCATGAAGCCGCGGCTTGGCAATGTGGTGGCTCCTGCGGTCGCGAAAGTGTCGAAGCAGGATCGGAGAGGAGCTTGGACATACCTCAGCCTCATTTGCAATTCTACAGATGTCCAAGGGAAGTTACCACATTACCTGATAGGTTCCAAGACGAGGCTGACGCGCAAGTTGCTGCGGGCACAGAAAGCCTTGCCACCAACCCGATTGAAGATCATTGCGCAAAAGTCTGCATGGACTTCTGCTGCGAACATGGTGCAACTCTTGCGAGACATTGGTGAGGTGCTGAAGCTGTATCCAGGCAAACAAGGTATCTTGTTGCTGGACTGTGCGCCTAGCCACTTGCCAAAGGAGGTCATGCAAGCGGCAAAGAGGCAGAAGGTGCAGCTGGTTTACATACCGGCGCAATGCACTGATGTGCTGCAGCCGCTGGACATTTGTGCATTTGCTGGCTTCAAAGCCTTTTTGCGGGCAAGGCACGAAGGTCTGAAAGCAACTTCCCAGCATGGTTTGGTGAATCCCCTGGCATGGATTTGGGAGCTGATGCAATGCCCGCGTGAATTTTTCGCGCAGAAGGCATGGCGCAGTAGCTTCGCAGCGGTCGGATGCACCAATCCGCCTGATCCGCAAGTACTCCATCGGGAGCTGCGGGAGTTGATGGATTTTCCGGTGAGTTTCCCCGAAGGGGTCAAACCAACCCGAGAGGAAGTGCAATGTTTGTGGCCAGAGCGACGCCGTATGGTGTATGCTTACAAAGCCTTGTTTTGACTTGCCTGCGTACAAGTGAAAATGTTGTGAGACTATTAGGGTCCAGCTTGTGGAAGCCGAGTTTTATGCATAATCCCAGCCCCCATTTTTGGGTTCCCCGTGTAGGCTAGTGTTAGTGTCATCTCTTTGCAAGCATGTGCTTGCAGCGTGCAACCCTGAAGCAACTGTCAGAAGACTCTGCAAGCTTTTGGCCAGAAGGAACTTGCCCTGGGTGACCCTCACCTTGACGCACTTGCTGCGAAGCCATGTCGTCAGAAGCAGCACCTGCTGATGTTGCGGCCGTTGCGCCGCCGGCAGACCGTTTGGCAGATTTGAAAGCAGCGCGACAGGCGCTGAAGCGGCAGTTGGCGCAAGCAACCCGAGAGGTGAAGAGCCAGGACATAGACTGGTGGCCATCAGACATGGTATAATGTCCTGTCTTGATCAATGCTAGCTTGTTTGCAGCAAATTGTCTGTGCCGGGCGCAGGAGAAAAAACGCCGTCGCATCATGCAGCAAGCTGGGAAACTGAGCACGGCAGATTTGTCGTGGCTGTTGGCGGTCAAGGTTGCCAATGGTCGTCCCTGATGTTTGCAGTTTGTCTGCATGGGCATGTCTCTGACAAGTGCAGAGCTATGCAGGAGACTCTGTGTTGGTATTTGCCCGTGAAGGGCGCCAATGTCGTCCTGCATGTGTTACAATGGCACGCACACGCGTGAGGAAGTTGCAAGTTTGCACACGAAGTGTGCACCTATGTGTGATTAACAACCTGACGCCAAAGGTGTCTGAAAACAATCGCAGCCGGCCACTCATGTTGCATGTTGGCTGTGGGAAGTGAGAGCGATTCAGTCAGTGGAGTCAGACGATTGCTTTGCATAGTGGCTGTAGGAGTGATTATTCAGATTCATTCATTGGATTCAGAGGCCTGCTTGATTGACGCACCACTGTGTGACACATAGCACACGCCGTATCCTGTCAGTGATTTAACATTCTCTTGCTGCGGCGGCAGCGATGGATGCTGGTGCGCTGCGGCCGTTGCGCCTGGTGCGTGCACGACCTGGCGATGCTGCTGCCGTTCTGGGGCCTTTGCGCCTGGTGCTGGCGGCTGGTGCTGTGCCACATTGCATCTGGGCACATGGTGCAGCTGCCTGTCCAGGGGGGAAGTGACTCTACATCTAGCAATTGTACCCTTGGTTTCTTGGTTCATGTTAAATTCCCATGTTTGATGGTGATTTCTCGCCAGTTACCCATAAGGCTCAATCAATGATATAAGCCCATCGTTTGATAAATCCCCAATGGTCAACCGCGGTGCACCACCATAAAAAATGACTGGCGAATCCCTATATGGTTAAAGTGATTTACCCACTGGTAAATTAACATAGACCCTTAAAATCACCAAGGTTTAATGGCAACTAGTCTTCCATCCCTATCTCCCACGGTCTATGTTAATTTACCAGACGGTAAAACGCTGTTGAGGTCTATCAATCTTCCCCGGTTCGACCACCACTTTTGATGGGTAACCAACCAGCATGACACCCAGTTCCCAGGTCTAGCATCCGCAAAATGAGGGTGCTTGCATGAATTAGTAGATTGTCGGAAAAGGGTAAATGATAACGACCTCAATCATCCCCAAATGGCCAAACCATGCAGGTGAGTGAACTATTGGGATTGCAATGTTTCATGACAGCAAATGTCAAAGATGATATGGGATGATAGATGCGTACGTACATATATTTGTATATACATATATTAATATAAGAGAATATTATATAATTAGGAACTGATTTGGTCAATTGGGGGGAGCGAACCGCTCCGTGCGTAGCAACTTCGAAGCACACCCCCATTTGATTAAATCGGTGTAGGAACCCCCCCAGCGGATTAGATAGCTTGGTTGCTGGATATTATATAAGGGTTGGTTGAACCGGGAACCTCCCTATCTCATCCGCGACAATATTTTTGGGGTTATGCTAATTTTTGGGAGTGTAATGACCCCCTAAAGGATGGATTGCCCAATTCAAGGAATGTTGATGCCTGAATTGCCCTATCCATCCAAAACCACCAAAGGGGATAATGACTGGAATAAAATCTAGGAGACGCGGACAGAAAATCTATGAGACACAGCTGAGCTTTGCCAAACGCAAAACTTTAGGTTTGAAGAACTTTGAAACGACTTCAAGGTGGATTCTTTACAAAAGACAAGTCGGAACATACCCCAGAAAGCCTTATATCGATCTAGATAGACATGTGCTTTGGAGAATAGAGACCTCGAAATAAAATGCGTACAAGACTAGTTTTTTAGGAGGTGGCTGATATGAAACTGGTCGCTTCCTCATCCCAATGCGTTCGTTTCACTTTTCAATACAATGGTCGAGATGAAAGTCGGTGATCGGGAATGTTCGTGATCCGGGTCGAAAGGAAAAGAATGTTCGAGATGCAAGTCGGTGATCGGGACTGTTCGTGATCCGGTTCGAAAAGCCAATGCTTCGCGTTGGGAATTTCAAGCATTCAATGCCATGCTGCATTTTGAAAAAAAACAGGAGATGTGCACATAAAGATCAGTCTTTTGGTTTTACCTGGTTCAAAGCTGTCAGCATGAAAGTGCTCAAGATCCCGCTTTCCGGTCATTAGAGTATTTCATTCTAGTACCGATTCTAGATAGCGATAGACATGTATATGGAGATATATATAGATCGAGAATAAAAGAGCGATAGAGAGATAGAGAAAGACATGGAGAGAAAGGTATGTATATATATATAATATAATGTCGATGAAAAGATATATCTACGTAGGTATAGATATGTATGTATAGGTCTGTAGACCCAGAGGAGGAAGAAAAGCACCATGCCTGTGGGAAGGGACACCTTTAGAATGGTGGCGACACAGAACAACATGCTTCAACATGGTCCTCCAACCTCGCTTGTAGCTACAAATAATTCTATTCTCCCAGAGGCGGATTTGGAGGACCGCCATTTTTGCCCCCGTTTTTCCATAGTTTTTCCCGTTGCTTGGTCCTCCGCGGTCCTCCGACCGATCCTGTCCGTGCTGTCGTCTGGGTTTTGTCGCAGTCCATACCCGTCGCTTGGTCCTCTCCATGCTCCTGCCAAGGTTTTTCAGCCATGCAAGCGCTGGGACAACAGTCTCGAGTGGCGCGGAAAGTCCGTGCGTACTTGACGAAAACAAAGCTGCTGAGCCGCTGCCCACACTTGTTTGCCTTGTAGTCTTTTCTTTGGCCCGCTCTTGTGCATTGCACTCTGTGAAAGACCAGCTATTATACCAGTTATGGCCATTCACCAGTTATAAGTAGTCATAACCCCATTTCGACCTTATAGACTCCCATTTATAACCAATTTGAACTCATCAATGTCCAGAACTGACGCGTCTATCTCCTGCTCCTCTATGGGAAGCTTGCTTGTCCTCATGCCTGCGAGCAGGCTTGGTCTGCTGTTTGGGTGCCGCCGCCGTGCCCACATCCAGACAGAGCATGGTGAGGCATTGCATGCTGTTCATTGTACGGTCGCTTTGTCATCGACTGCTTAGCTGCCAGGGTATTAACTTCCCATGAGGGCCCCTTCATGTCACGCAGCAAAACAAGAACATGATCATTGAGCCACAGTGCCGCCATGCCTGTCCGACGGCGACTCTGTGGTAAGCAGCCGCCGCCAGACGGCCCCCCTGACCGGGAGGCACGCAAGCAGCTGCTGATATGGCTGCGCGACAAATGGGCTGCGCAGCGAATGGCCGCTCGGAATGAGCACGGACACGCCAAGCGGCAGCGGTGGAGAGCTTCATTTGCACAAGCCGACAGGCCGCAGATTTTGCGCGACATGTTGCCGCAAATTCCTGTGAAGTTTGCACGTGCTGCACGTGACCTACTGGCAGGGTGGCATGTCGAAGAGCCGATTGTCAACGAGCCATCGCCGCAAGCATACAAGGGCACTGGTACTATGTTCCGATACAGTGGCTCCTTTAGCATGATTGAGCATCAACCTTCCTTGGACCTGCTTGCGGCAGGACCATCTGTCGACATTGATCTGCTCAGTGCCGGCCTACGAAACGCACCGCAGGTGCTTGCCATTTGGGATGACTTTCAAAGTTGGATGACCGAGCTCGGCAACAAGTACCGCTTTGAACGGGTCAGCACCGCCCTGGAGCTCCACACAGAGGTGACGCTGCAACGCAGAGTGCCTTCCATTCACTTGCACATGATGTTTGACACCCGCGACTCGGCAGCAATGCGGGCACCTCTCTCGCAAGCCTGAATCATGTCATTTTTTCTTTCATTCCCAGTGCCAGTCATTCTTTTTCGCAGCCCAATGTGAGGACGCACCTTCCCCATACTTTTCGGTCCTGTTTCATGTTTGGTTCTGATGGCTAACAGAACCAGATAGGCTCTAGCACCGTACCTTCCTGGCCCATGCACCCGCATGTTGCGGCCAGGGCGACAAGTGCATCTGTCTGGACAAAGTTTGGCATTTCGTGGGTGCAAGCCGCACATCTCCTTGGATTCCTCGCAGGCTCGTGGGCGGTCAGTCCGTCGTGCACTGGATCAAGGGCACTTTTATCTCCAAGTGGAGAAGAAAGGGTCCATTTTTCGCCAGACCACTTGCCCAGCATACCAGACTTTCACAGTGAGCCCCGACTGGGTGACTGGACTTTGGCAGGGGGATAAGATTAACAAGGAGTGTGCCGAGCAGCACTACGTCCAATGCAAGCGCAACATTCGTGCTTACTGTGAGAACCTGAAGTACCATGGCCAGAAACAACGGGAGCTGTACATTCAGCAGCAGCAGGCTGCTGCAGCAGAGCTCTTGCGCCCACTGCAGAAAGAGCCAGTGGAACTACCAGAAGTGACGCAGCTGTTCTTGCCACAGTTCACGCGGCCTATGCATCGCCGAAAATTCTTGGTGCTGAATGGCCCAACGCGCCTGGGGAAGACTGTCTATGCACGGTCTCTCTTTGGCGCAGATCACACGTATGAAACCAATTGTTCTGGGGTGTTGGAGCCCGACATGAGGGAATATGATGTGCTACGGCACCGGTGTGTGGTGTTTGATGAAGCTAGTGTCCATCTTGTCTTGAAGCACAAAAAATTGTTTCAGGCGCCGCCTGCCGAAATTTCACTTGGGCACTCGGCGACAGGCATGTATGTTTATCGCATCTGGGTTTGGAATGTCGCTCTCATTGTCACATCCAATGTCTGGACCACCGAACTGGAGCAGCTCGCTGCAGAAGATCGGGAATGGCTAGAAGGGAATGCGATTCTCATTCAGTGTAGCCAGCCCTTATACAGACAAGACTGAGGCCACGCCCGGTTCCAAAAAAAGGGGTCGCCAGACGGTTGCAAACTAGCTGTCGTCAGTGAGGGCCCTTGTTGTATATATATAATGATATAGAACATTATATAATCTATAAGCTTAGTTGCAAAAGTTATTTGCGCCCATGTAAAATTGAAGCCAGAGAACTCTCAGTAGATCATCCAATTTTCCCGTTCTCAAAACACTTTTGACTTGGGAACATTAGATAAAACATGGTAAAACCACGCAACTTTTCCTATTTTTTTTAAAGTTTGACCACGCCAAAAAGAGAGTTTTGCTTTGTGCTTTCTGCTGAGGAATTGCGTCAGAATAAGACATGTGGCTGACCACTGTTTCCATTTTTCCGTAAGTGGTTTTGGTTCGCCCAGGAAAACTCCAGGCATTGTCTTCATGGCATTTGATATTTTGTGAAGGCGTGCTTGCTATTGTTTTATCGGTATTTCCTAGTGCGGATTGACATCTGCATCTTGTTTGAATCTATATACCATTTGGTTATTTCACATAGCCATGGAAAATCCCTGATAAATGGAGGTTTCTAGCTGGGAAAATCATCTATAAATGGGCCATTTTCCATGGTTATGTTAGTCATAACCAGATGGTAATCCCTTCTTTAGAGGTTTGAACGCCGGTGCTGGCCCCATCAGTTGAAAATTCTTCCACCGGGCGGCAGGCCAATCGCAGTGGTGCGGCTCTCAACTCCCGGTTCTTGCGGCGGGACTCTGGGGTTGGCCATCGGACTCATAGGTTGCAAAAGTTTGCACGCCGGTGCTACAACCTGATTGGCCCTTACTGAACACTTCCAAGTACTGCACACTCTATATATTATTAATATTTATTAATTATATACTTCTGAATTTGATTAGACTTGGTCATACTTCAACTCCTGCTTACCTCTGGCTACGGGAACGTAGTTTTCAAATCCAGCATTGCTCCAAGTTATCAAGGTGAATCACAGCTACAATGGAAGCAAACAGTGAGAATCAGTGAAACTGCTCATTTTACCTCTTTATATAAATATAAATTAAATACATAAATAAAAATATATATATATATATAATACACATATGTCCCCAGTCATTTTCTTCATTTATAAAGGTTGTCCGAGACACATGTGCCGGACTGGGGGGCGCACCAGTACCCGCCGGATTTGACCTCCGAGGGGATTCTGGTGGCTCCCATCGTGCTGTCAGTTGGCTGCCCCAGCTCCAGGTTTCCAAAATCTGTGGATTGATTCATCCCATAAATGGTGGGTAAAACATTATTAATGGTTATATAATGGGGATTCATGGTTACTATGGCTTATAGATGGTTAATGTTAATAACTAGTCAGTGTATGATAACATTAATGTTCTAATGTGTGTAAACATGTCGTAATCTATGATTTTGGAATGTGTGTAATCATAATCTATGTTCTACATTACTCCAAAATCTATGTTCTATACCCTCTGGTAAACTAACATAGCTATAGAAATCACCATTAAAATAATAGGCAAACCATCTATTTCTATGGGCCAGCTATTCAATAGCTATGTTAGTTTACCAGAGGGTAATGTTCTAATGTGTGAAACAATGCCATAAACGCACCATCCCCCAGGAAAATCACCATTTTTTGTTTGGTGGTATGGTTACTTACCATTCCCAGGAAAATGGCTGGTAAAAATGACATTGTTTTACCCACATTGCATGCTTTGCATTGGAAAATCCGTCCGCAGCGACCTATCTTTGGACGAAGCCATAAGACCGACTGACGTGACTTAAACAGTGACCACAGCAGCAATCCGATTAGCAGCTAGTTGCATTGTAAACGTAGCTACATATGGATCATATGGGTCCCATGCAAGCAAACATTAAATCGATTGCCATGTGTTCTTCAAGAAAAATAGTGATTTTGGAAGACATCTCATATGTGAGACGTGACAGAACAGCAGGTGCTCGTCCAGAATCTTGTCCAGATGATACATCGAATAGTTAAATGCCGTATTTCAGTGTCGCAAATGTCTGGGGTTCGCAGAATATCCCCAAATAGTTTCCCCAAATCAAATTGTCCAAAGCAAGAATTCGACATATTTGGAATCTCCCCCTCGCAAAAAATAAGTATCTTATCAAGTCTATCAACATTAGATCTATCAACCTGGTTTGCGTTTTCGGGGTGATTTCATAAGGCTGCCCATTTTTTGAAATCAGAATATGATATTATATATATATATTTACACGGTCAAAACTCTGGTATACTACTTTTGTAAAGGAGAGTTCTCTTGTGTCTGGAATGTGCTCCAAATACTGTGTGTAGCGATAGGCCACCCCCCAAAAAGCGATACCTATAACTGTGCATGATGTCCACATTTCAAGTTGTTTTGCACAAAGTTGCGTACGTGCAAGAGGCGAAATTAGCGATACCTCTAGCGATACCTTAGCGATACCCATTTGTTCAAAAAGTAGTCCCAGACCACAAATAGACCCTTTCCTTTCCTTGTCCTTTCCCTTTCCTTTTCCTTTCCTTTTTTCACGCAACCATGGATAGCAACAGGGCCCCCCCAAAGAGCGATACCCCTCTTTCGGGAACTTACTGTTGCGAAGGCAATGAGTTATGACAATACTATATATATATATCATATATATATATATATATCATATATATATATATATCATATATATATATACATATCGATGCCAAAAGGTGGTTTCCTGATAAATTGCCAATTCTCAAGGCAATTTCGAAGCAGTTTTCTTTTCTGAGTTTCCAGACGGCTGGGCCTCGATGCCAAGGTGTTTGCGCATGTGACCTGCAAAGATATCCAGGACACTGCAATATGTCTGCTGCCCAAGGTGTGTGGCAGATGGGGTTGGGTTTTTTGATGCAAGCTGCCACGCATGTATTACAATGTATGTATTGATATAATATAACATGATATAATACAATATAATCTAAGCTACTACATATACATATTCAGTGTATGTGTATGATATATGTGTGTGTGTTTGTATGCATAATATACATATGTGTATAATGTGTATATATATATATATACTTGTATAATATTATATATATATGCATACACTGGAAATCAGACTGGTCACAGGCTTCTGGATGCCACTGGATGACGACAAAATCTGGCTACGGATCACCATTTCAGATGTAGACCACAGATTTTGGTCATTTCTTTGTGACTAGACTATAACTATTAACTAATTTTAAGTACCCAATCCTAAGTGGTACTGGTGACTTTCCAACTGAGCTAAGGATACCAAGGATACCGTATCCATATATCCAGTAATTTATATCCCCATTTACTTGGTAACAGCTGTTGATATCACTGCGGACATCCATGGGCGGAACATCATCAAGAACTCGGTGGATTTTCAGAGCATGGAGCTAATGACCTGGCATCATCCTGCTATATATGGGGAATGAAGACTGAAACCAAAGTTGGTGGGTTGGATTGCTAGGGGATTCCCACCAGGTTTTGGGCCACCTTTTTTTTATGGATGATATATATATAGAGTTTCCATTTATGAATGATGTTGGCTACGGTACTATGTTGAACATGGCTTCCATGTTGCCAAGGCCCTGACTGGCAAGTTCCAGCTGCAGGCATGAAATGAAGTTGGACGATCCGGTGGTTTTTGGAGAGATTGGGGTACCCATATGGGGCTTTCCTGAAATGGGGATATCCTCTGGTAATTTGTTACATAGCTATTGAAAATGGCCATTTATAGTGAGTTTTCCCATGAAAATGGTGATTTTCTATAGTTATGTTAGTTTACCAGAGGGTATCCCATAAATAGATGGTTTATTTCATGGACAATCCCAGTCCCAATCCAATCTGGATGATTGGTACGGGGTACCCCTATGACTTAGGAAACAAACATATTCCCTATCACTATAAAGAATGAGGACTGGTTGGTGGTTTGGAACATGAATGGATTATTTTTCCATATATTGGGAATGTCATCATCCCAACTGAAGAGCTCATATTTTTCAGAGGGGTTGATACCACCAACCAGAGGAGATATGAGGAGCTACTGAGAGTTTTCCAACCACATGAGTTTCAATGTTCGTCCATATTTGATGCTGTGAAGTGCTGTCAACATTGAATCTCTGAGAACACGGTCTCGGTTGACTAAACCATGACAAAGAGGTCGTGTGACGTTTTTGTTCCCATGTTTTTTCCTTGAAATACCATGATTTTCCAGCTTAACGTCCCCAGTTTTCCCTCAATTTCACCAGTGTTCCAAAAAAGACGATGATCTCAGATCTTCCTGGTTTACCAATCCCAGCATCTCCCAGAAATGTCCAATTTTCCCCCCATTTTTTCAACGTTTTCGGGTTTCCTTGGCCCTTTTTTGTCACCGGCGCAGGTTGGCGTTGGCCCGCCGTGGGCTGTGGCATCTGGGCCACCTTGGCCGCCTTTACGGCCTGGGTGCAGCTGGACATGTTGGAGGAGTGCCATAGTGCCATCCCCGGCCTGGTTTAACATAGACATAGCTGTAGAAAATTTCCCCATAGAAATAGTGGATTTTCCCATTAAATCTCCTCATATCTCCTCTGGTTGGTGGTATACCCACCCCTCTGAAAAATATGAGCTCTTCAGTTGGGATGATGACATTCCCAATATATGGAAAAATAATCCATTCATGTTCCAAACCACCAACCAGTCCTCATTCTTTATAGTGATAGGGAATATGTTTGTTTCCTAAGTCATAGGGGTACCCCGTACCAATCATCCAGATTGGATTGGGATTGTCCATGAAATAAACCATCTATTTATGGGATACCCGGCCTGGGAATTTGTTACATAGCGAAGTGGAAAGATCCACCATGCTATTCATGGGAAAATTCACGAACTTTCTATGGTGATTTTAAATAGCTATGTAACAAATTACCAGGCCGGGTAACATAGCTGTAGAAAAGTTCCTGGATTTTCCCATGAAAAACGCATGGTGATGTTCGAAAAAGTTATGTGACAGGAAAAATCATCAGTATGTCTTAGCCGTAGTTTGTAGAACATACCCCATAGAAATCGTGGATTTTCTCATTAACAATGGTGATGTTCTATAGTTATGTGACAGTTTACCAGAGGGTATGTATTATAATGTATTATATAACCGTAGTTTGATATGGTTTATCAACGTTTATCATCCATAAGAGAGTTTATCAGTATGTAACAGTATGTGTGTAATTATTAACCATAGTTTATAATATAGTTTAAACTGATGACTGGGATATATACCCCAAAGTACCATAGTTTAATATAGGTTATCAGTTTCCCTAATAGCCGTTGTTGGGGTATACCAGATATCCATATTCTATCACATTCTTAGGCTGTGTCTGATACATATCTGGGGATATGATTTATCTTGATGCACCCCTTACCGCAGTTACATCTAATGAAGTGGATACATTGGGGTATATCGCCCATCCCATTGGCTGGGTACATTCCTAAAAGTGATTATCCCAGTAACGGGGTCAACGGTAAATTTCGTTCGAACCAGCTGACAAGTTGTTTTTTTGTGGCAGGTATCCAAGATTCACAATGTCAAAATCGAATTCCACATTTAATCATCTCCCAAATTTAATCATCTCATATCATCTCTAAATTTCTTGATAGATTCCCAATTTATAGATGATTCTCCCATTAAAGCTCCAATAAAACCATCCCAATTTGCAGTGATTTCCATCTCGAGGAGTCGGATGAAGAAGATGCCTGGCCCGGAAACCCAGTGGACGCCCGTTTGCCCGGCCAGCCATAGAAAAGTTGGAAAGACCCTATCACTTGAAGTTATGGTCTACTTTATCACTATTTTTGGAGGGAATATAAAGACTTAAAGTGATAGTGATAAGTGATTGTAGACTTATTTTCGGGGGATACAATCCCTTCCCCCATTCATATTAAATATCCCCTTAGAAACCACAGTAAAAAGTAGGGAATTTCCACATCATTGATACCATACGGGGGTGTTTCAATATTAGGGGAATGGGATATATAAACATTTAAACTCATGTCTACTCTACAATCACTTATCACTATCACTTCTGGCACTCTTGGAATACCTATCACTTACTGTATGTCTACTGCTGGATGGGTTTATAAACCAACCTATTCCATCCTATTCCAGAGTATCATCCCAGCTTTTGTTTCGTAAGTGACCAGCAACTGGGGCTATGAAGATTCGGATTGGATTACCCCAGTAGCTCGTCAAATTGGCAATGGAAGATCCCACGTTAAATTCTTGAACTTCTCTAGAGGTTTTCCCAGCTATAAACCTCCATTTAGAGTGGATTTCCCAGCCTGCTTGATTACTGGAGGGTATAACCATGGATTTTAAAAGGTGAACATCGATAACATCTCCCCTGAAAGCCATTTTCAAACGCTGCTGCCCCCCAAGTTCGTTCTGTTGATTGGTTTATAAACATTATAAACCCCATGAAAACTAGTTCGATATACCCTCTGGTAAACTAACATAGCTAGTGAAAATGACCATTTATAGTGGATTTACCCATTAAAAGTGGTGATTTTCCATAGTTACGTTAGTTTACCACAGGGTATCACCAACAAAAACCATAGTGAAATTGGAGTTATGTTCACCAACTGAACCCTATCGAACGGGGGCACCACCCCGCAGGGGTTTAAGATGATTTTTAGGATGGGATTCGAACACTTGACAGGATGGTTTCGATGGGTTTCTATAATTTTCTATATGGAATTCATTTTTTGGTAGGTCTATTTAATGTGGAAATGATGATGCTAAATCTCAATAAATCTCATCCATGACATTTTAAAAACCACTTTTCTATCTATTAAATGGGACTTTGTTTTGTAGGTTCACCCACAAGTGAACAGAGTTTTTAAGGGCCAGTGGGATGATCGGAGCCCATACCCGGCCTGGTAAGCTAACATAGATATATGGAATAGATGGCCCATAGAAATAGATGGTTTACCTATTAAGAATGGTGATTTTCTATAGCTATGTTAAATTACCAGAGGGTATATATGTTGCTGGTTGTTGAGATGGAAAAAAAATAGCGACATTTCGTAACCAATTTGCGACATTTGCATTTGTGTTCCCTTGGAACCACGGCCGCTGTGATTCTAAACCCAGCATCCTCGCCAGAAGTAAGGCATGACTATCCCTGGCCTTTGGGACGAAAGAGGTGCGCAAGCTGGTGAAGTTTGATGGGAATCAACCCCAGTGAGCTAGATATGGGATTCCGGGATGGGTCAAAACCTATTGTTACCGTATTTTTTTTGGAAGAACCATCCATTAACCAGCTATTTTTAGGGTAGGGTCCTTAGGTTTGAACTCATATTTCCATATTATTTTGCAATGGAAAAGAAAGTGAGTAAAGGCAACGAACAGTTTCTGGGTAACCACTTTCTGAACTTGTGATTTTCTACTTGTCCCTCTTGGCCAAGTTTGAGCCTTGTAACCGCCAAGTGTGTGTCTTTTCTTGTCCCCCTTTGAAACTTTGACACCTTACAAGGTGGTGCCCCATAATAGTTAGCTAAGTTGGTTTATAACTCCAATAACTATGGTTTATGGTACTTATAACTATAGTTACTGGGGCTTATAAACCAACTTATAACTGGGGGGCATCACCATGTACAGGTTTCTTTGTTGACACCATAATTCTACCGGAGGGTATCCCGAATATTCTACGAACTGAATCAACTTCTCCCAAGCATTTCCCCAGATCCAAATTGACATATCCCAAATATATCCCACATATTATCCAGTTTGAAAGATTGAAATCCAAATCAAGACAAATGCAAATAAATACATATCATATCTATATATATATATACACACATTCATGTTCTATATCCAATGCTAATAATATGTTTTTTTTCTATATATAATCCCAACTATATATATATATATTTCTATTTATCGTGTGTATATATATATATATACCAAATATGTTCCATACATCATGTATATATATATATGTTATATATTGGGGGCATATATATATATATATTTCCCAATCTCCCAAATATCTAACATAAAACTACATTTATGATTCTCTACATATATATATATATACGCTATATTGTTTATATTATGCCAGTTGTTTTCACCAATTTATGGATCCAGATCCACAGGAGTTCACACTCCTGGCGGCGTTTCCGAGGACGGGGGAAAGACTTCGCCGTATTGGTAAACTAAGACAGCTATGGAAATTAATGTTGACATGGGTAATGGGTAAATATTTATTATTAGATGATAGATGATTTACCCATTAAAAATGCTGATGTTCCATTTCCATAGCTATGGAACATCAGCATTTTTAATGGGTAAATCATCTATCATCTAGGTTATTTTCCACAGCTATGTCAGTTTAGTGGAGGGTAAACCTGGTGTATGACATAAACAAATGTAAGTTTATCTGCTTTTAAGAACTGAAACGCGAATCTGACTTAAAAACCCCACAGCTTGTAAGCTGGTCTATAGACTTCAAACCCCAGTCAGGTATACGGTATATATGTATATATATATGTATTTGTCATAGAACCTGGCTATCCTTCAACATCAGCCACTTGGCTAGATTGGGCACTCTGTAGAACCGAAGCATGGTGGTTGGGTCATAGGCTCATAGATGTCCTCTTCCCACTGATGTGTTGCCGTTTTGGATCGTTTTGGGGTAATCCCATTTTCCCATATGGTCCTTTTTGGACTGAAAACGGATCAGCAGCGAAGCACAAAGATGAATTCCCGGTTACACTTGTGACTTGTGAATTTCCCCGTGCCAGGTTAGATTGCCAAAGGCTATATTATATCATTATTCTCATAGTTGCTGCTGTTTTTTTTTGTTTGCCTTGTGAGTTCTAATTTGGGACAACTTGTGGTCGGTAATGCATGGTGACACCTATTGATTCTGGGCATTTACCCTGTCCCCACACCCTGAGCCAGGAGAAGACTGGGGACACTGAGACGGCAGGACGAATGGTCACAACAAACATCCGAGAAGTTTCCAGTAGGGGACATGGATTAGGTACATGAAAACTCCAGACAACAGATATTAGTGTTGTTTGTTCTATCTTATGTTCACCTTTAAGTGGTTGATTAAATTCCTATTTTTGCTTGGTTGAATCCCAGGCTTCAAACTGGTTACATACGCTGGACTTGGCCGAAGTCCGGTGAAACGGGGAGGAAACGCTGAGGAAAACTGGGACGGTAGCTACGGATGACATGGGGAGCCAGTTGGAGCTACGAACGGAGTTTCGCAACCAGATATGGGTATGGATCAATACCTATGAAAATACCTATTTTTAGGGGGATGAACATCCATAAATCCCAGCTATTTTGATGTGAACTACAGGGGTACTATTGGTTTTGACACACTGCCATATCTCCAAAATCCATTTCTCAGAAAGAAATTTGAGAGCGATCGCGACGAATCTGAAACCTGGCCTGACCAGCCTGATGTTTTTTTTGAATTAAAGAGGTGTAGAGTGCCATTCATTTGGGGACAACCCCATCTACAACCATTCAATTTGATTGTCCCAAAATTTGGGTTATTCCCATTCAGATGGCCATGGCTTCACTGGGGTTACCTCCACAGTTCGATGTGGAAAATCCACCAGGAATGTAGATCAATTCAACCAAATCAACCATGGTTTTAGAATGGGAAAGCACCTGGCAAACCAGGTTTGGTCATGGAACAAAACCATGGGTTTTCTGAATCTATCTTAGTTTGACCGGCAAATCCATGGTTAAATGTTCTATTTTGAGTCACAGCCATATGGATTTTTTGGCCATTGTGATGTCTCTGGACACCTTGGGGTCCAACATGAGGGGTTTGTTTTTTGATGTTTTTTGATGGCAAGATGGGACAAAAAAACATTCTAACACCTGGATAAACGCACTTGTGGTAGTTTTTGGCACATGGACTCCATCCATGTACTGAGATGATAAACCATTTCAGTGACGGCTTTTATTTGGTTAAATGGAGAGTAGTACTGGAACGTACCCCGGTTTCTCGAAAACCTCATAATTAGGCAGCAAAACCCAAGTAGGAACACCCCGAGAACAAGGTAGGCATGGCATGTAAAGCATTTGGCTATCAAACACAAGTGCGGCGTTGGAAAACGAGGTCAGACCCCAAAAACGCTACGGGACTGGTGAACGAGATAGGAACACACCGTCACTGTACCAAAATGTACCAAATATAATATATGATACAAATTATATGTATGTATACAATTGTAAATATATCCACATTTTTAGATGGTACTACTATGTCATATGGTTTATATATCACATTAAGCGGCCTATTCTCAAGGATTGGTCGGTTATATCAAATAATACCTTGTTTGCTGGTTGTACATGGATGTGCATCACCTGAATTGTAACGGGTTTCTGACATGTTGTAACCCAAATATCATCCATAAATAATCGGGGATATGTCATGATATTACTCTGGTTGGTGGTTTGGAACATTTTTTATTTTCCATAGTGTATGGGATAATCCTTCCCATTGACGAACTCTAATATTTTTCAGAGGGGTAGGTATACCACCAACCAGTACTACTCTAACAGGGTTATACATGCCTTGGATGCACACTTCCAAGTTTCCTGTCCCCATCACTGACCTCGCAGGATGAACGAAGTTAACTTTGTCAGCCTCCGCGGCCAAATCTGCTGCGGGGCTTTCGAGGGGCCACCAAAAGCCAAAAGCCAGCGGCCACGACAAAAAGCGGGTTTATTTTTTCTGGGATACCTTGGATGGGTGGATTAGCTACCAAACATGGAGGTTTAACACATCTTCAACCGGTGGACTTTAAAGCACATATGGAAGAACTGATTGGTGATGGGTAGTTCAACCTGAAAAAACTTTTGCCAGTGATGGGGAAATTAAAACATTTAAAACCGAATAAGCTTCCAAAAATGCAGTTGGTTGGCCATGACAAGCAGTCGACACTGTGATAGGGTGTGGCCTCAGACATACCAGGGTTCTACAACTATGATTGGGTTTGTATAATACTGTTGTGTATACTTTTTGAGTCAGAGAGGGGCTCATCAGGATAATGGAGACTTTTGGTACTTGGAAAGTTGTGTTTCCCCTTGGCTAGAAAAGCTTGAAGCTTGAGAAGAAATGGGTGTGCCTGTATGCCCCACAGCGGCAGGAAAAAGGTCATCGAGTTTTGAGTTCTTTCCCGGCGGAATTTCAAAGGGCAGACCTTTTGGCAGTTGCCAACAGTCACGATTGGTGCCTTTACGATATGTTTGCTTCAATTTTGATGAGCTAAACCGGCTAAGCCTTGAATTATGGTTGGCAACATCCACACCGTTTTCATTGTGAAGAATTCGTTCATTGCCTCTGCAAGGTAGTTCTGTCTTTGACACATATACCATCTGGTTATTTAACATAGCCATGGAAAGATCCACCATTTTTAAGAACGGTAAACCATCTATTTCTATGGGCCATGGCTTAACCATGGCTATTTGTTCCACTCAATTTCTCCTATTTCGAGGGATCAACCGTTGGTTTCTTCTCCGCGGCTTAGAGTGGCATCAGTGCCGAAACTCCAACGCGATCGCGGGGTCTGGGGGAATAGCCGACAGAAATGAGTTGGGAATGCCCAGTGGAACTGGGGGAAAGCCAGGTATGGAACTTGGGACCCCAAGAAATGGAGGCTTTCCGTTTCGTCATGGGGGTAGCCCTAAATCATCCAGCTATTGGGGTACCCCTAAATCACTATGGAAAAGCCGTTGGGCCGTTGACAGTTTACGATGCTTAAATCAGGTGGGAAATCCATGAACTATCCACGAAGGTTTATAGCTGGGAAATCATCGACCATTTTCCAGCAAGCCACGGCCATGATGACCGAAGGATCTGTTTTTATTGAGATGTATCCATACCCATAGGATCCATGTATGCTATATATATATATGCTAACATTTACCATCAATATATCCCCAATGTTAGCATATATACCATACATGGATCCTATGGGATATGTATCCCATGTTACAAGTGAGCATTTTGCAGGGCATCTTGCAGGGCATCTGAGACTAAGATATCACCCGAACGTCGAATTCGTATTTTCCATCGTCCAAGAAGTGAAAAATCCTGAAACCCCAGGGGAAAACCCCAGGATCAGCATGGTCCCCATTCAGTTCCCCATAAATTGACCGTAATTTCATCGTTTTCAGACACCAAAATCATATATATGCACCAGGCCCTGCCACCCCCCCCTCCCCCCCCCCACATGGGATGGGTCCCATATACTGGCCCCATATGAGATCTTCCCCCTCCCCCCCCTGTGGTGTGGTGGGGGTGTGGTATGGTATGTTGGGTATGTATGGTGTGTATGGTCGGTCTGGTATGGCATGTTTGGAAAGTATGGTATGTTTGGTATGTATGGTAGGTATGGTATATATATGGCATGAGTGGTTGGTATTGTATGGATGGTAGGTATGGTATGTAAGTCTGTTGGGTATGGTATGTTTGATATGACAGTATGTATGGTCTGTATGGTATGTATGATTACAATTATGGGTATGGGATATTTCTTATGTAGGTAGGTACGGTATGTATGGCATGTATGTTTGCTATTGTATGTATGGTAGGTGTGGTAATTACATTTCATGTGTATGGTATGTACGGTATGTATGGTATGCATGGTATGTATGGTATGCATGATAGATATGATAGGTATGGTATGCATGGCATCATTGACATGTATGGTAGGTACGGTATATGTTAAACACAGGTAGTGTTGTCAGAGTACACAGGTAGTAAGTAGGAAGTAGATACAGTAGATGCATAGCACATGTATATATGACTATAGGTAGCACGTAGATACTTTGAAGGAGTATGTGTGCTACGCAGGTCGCCTAAAAGGTAGCATGTACCTAGTAAATGCGCGGCTGGTAGTCAGAAATGATGCAAAGACCTAGCAAATACGAAGCTGGACCTCAGAAATGCTGCCAATAGCTTGCAAATAGAAGGGAAGGGGGGTGCTACCTGGGGACCCAGCACTGTACTGTCCCCCTCCCCCCCCTGTGGTGTGGTGGGGGTGTGGTATGGTATGTTGTGTATGTATGGTGTGTGTGGTCGGTCTGGTATGGCATGTTTGGAAAGTATGGTATGTTTGGTATGTATGGTAGGTATGGTAGGTATGGTATGTATGGCATGAGTGGTTGGTATTGTATGGATGGTAGGTATGGTATGTAAGTCTGTTGGGTATGGTATGTTTGATATGACAGTATGTATGGTCTGTATGGTATGTATTGTTACTATGATGGGTATGGAATATTTCCTATGTAAGGTAGGTATGGTATGTATGGCATGTATGTTTGCTATTGTATGTATGGTAGGTGTGGTAATTACATTTCATGTGTATGGTATGTATGGTATGTATGGTATGTATGGTATGTATGGTATGTATGGTATGTATGATAGATATGATAGGTATGGTATGCATGGCATCATTGACATGTATGGTAGGTACGGTATATGTTAAACACAGGTAGTGTTGTCAGAGTACACAGGTAGTAAGTAGGAAGTAGATACAGTAGATGCATAGCACATGTATATATGACTATAGGTAGCACGTAGGTACTTTGAAGGAGTATGTGTGCTACGTAGGTCGCCTAAAAGGTAGCATGTACCTAGTAAATGCGAGGCTGGTAGTCAGAAATGCTGCAAAGACCTAGCAAATACGAAGCTGGACCTCAGAAATGCTGCCAATAGCTTGCAAATAGAAGGGAATTGGGGCTGCTACCTGGGGACCCAACCCATGGGGGGGGGGGGGGGGGGGGGTGGAGAGGAGGACGGGAGGACGGGACCATATATATATATATATAATATATATATATATATTTATATATATATCATATATGTTGGTGATATTATATATATTATATGTCGGTTTATATGTTGAAACGCCTTAAATCCGCCTTAAATCGCCATGACATTCCCAAGACAATGGGACCCATTTTTCCTCGCAGCTGCTCCAATGGCTTCGCTGAGGCCGAGCAGTTCTGCAGGTCTTCGAAGAGTACCAAAAGGTGCGGCAGCGGAGGCTTCAAGGATTCGAAATGTCCAAGTTCGTCAAGAAAAAAAATCTGATACCCTCTGGTAAATTAACATAGACCCTGGCAGATAGGGGTTGGAAGATTAGTTTCCATTAAAACTAGGCTATTTTCAGTGTCTATGTTAATTTCCCAGAGGGTAAAGGTGTCCTAAGTTAAGTCATTTCGAATTAAGAAGCATAAATGGTGGCGTAAGAACCATGACAATGGAGGTGTCCTAAGTCATGGGTGTAGCCCTAGATCATCCAAATGGTTCACCAATTGAGTGTTGCAACCCATGGCGATTTGGGTATCCTCCATTTTAAGAAACCCACAAAGGAGCTGTGTGAGATAAGTTGGTTTATTGCATGTTATCGCCAGTGGGGATCGTTGACTTATGATAGCTTTCTGTTGGTGAACATACTCAAGATGTATAAATGATATATATATATATATACATTATATATAATATATATTATACACATATATATCTATATCAATTATATATATATATCAACTTTGTGATTTATGGTGGTTATAACCAAACTACACGTAGATGGGTTGTCAAATACAACGAATGCGCATCATATAATGTGGTGATCAATGACCCATGTGTTTTTGGGGTGTATGTGTATCCAATATATATATTATACATATATATATATATCAACGTAAAGGATTTGAAGTGGTAAACCAAGTCATAAAAAAGCTAACCAACCATGTTATATTATAGCATCCCATCTTTAGGGACATACCCCAGCTCTCAAAAAAAATCACATGAAACCAGCTGAAACCACAATTCTCCTCCGGCTGTGAGGGGTTCAATATCCAGGGTTGATGGCTATAGCCATGGTGATTTCAACTTTTTATAGAAAATATTAGGAGATGGGGCCAGCAACTATGGTTATATACCCAGTCTGAAGCCTATTTTTCCTGGTTGATTACCAGGAAGTACAAGCCAGTTCTGAGAGGACATGTTTCCAGTTATATGGATGTGTTTAAAATGGAAACATAGCCATAAATGGCCACTTCGTAAGGAACATGATTACAATCCATTGGGTTTTGCACCCTATTTTCAGACAAACCCATCAAATTTCCAATTAAACCATAATCTCAAATCAATGTCAAGTCACATATTTATCACAAATGCTCACAATTATAGTGTTTTCTATAAGTATTCTCAAACACTCATATTTTTAATCAATATCAATGTGGATTTTTCTATCAGCAGCTACCAGGCACGTGTGACCTTTGTCCAGACGGTGGCCGATTTGGTGGGGCGCCAAGTTACGCGCTGCGGGAAAAAAACATGTTTCAGTATCCCATATGCTCCATGGTGCTGGAATATGAATCCCAACATATTACCCCATAAATCACCCAGTTTTGTAGGTAAATATACCATAATTACATGGAGCATTTGGGTATTTGGGGGGTTCTTAAGTCATGGAGGATCCCCAAGTCACCATGGGTTTCAATGCTAAGTCATGGTCTAGTGACTTGGATGATTTTAGGGGTAGCCACCATTTCCGGAAACCTCCATTTAAGTATCATCAAACATGAGAATTTTAGGTTTAACATTTTTTGAACCACTAAGAGAGGGGTTTGGACATGATTCAACCATCAAACTTGGAGATGTAACCAACTAGAATGGTGTTATGATGGGATATCATCGGAAATCAGGGGGATGACACCACGTTGGTTGGTCTAAACTCCATCTTTGATAAAATGAACATTCCCTTTTTGGCTAAATCCTGAAGCATCCTCAAACAAGACTCCATGATTGATAGTATTGATAAGATTTTGGATAATTATCCCAACAAGAATGTCCGTCCCTGAGAATGAAACTCCACATGTTTCTTGGTTTTTCTCCCAGAAAAACATCCCCAACAGCACTTTCTTTGCAGCATCACAACTCTGAGGCAACTCGACCCCAGAACATCGATGCTCTGCAGAATGCAGGTGCAGAACTGGGGCTCCAACTTTTGCCATGGGGATTTCGTGGGATTTCAAGCGTACTAGAGATTTGGACGTGGTTTCCTCGTATCTGGGATTTACACTGTATGGAATTTCATGGGATATCATGGGGAATTAAATTCGGGATTGAATTCGATACAAAATGATACACAGGGATATTTTTCTAACGATATATAGCCTTAAGAATATTAGTATAATGACATTTAACATATTTAACACGGTTGCTCCAAGCCATGATTGGTAAATACCAGCAAATTTAACAATAGGTAATGTGGAAAACTGGAATCATGGAATCATGGACAAGTCTGTGGATTTGTCTGAGCATTTTTGGACAATCCTAATAGGCGAAAAATGGCTATAATTAGGGTGTGTCCATTTTCAGAGAAATCCATTTTTTGTGACATTTAACAACCACTTAAATGAAATATAATGAAATCATGAACCAGGGTGTCCGTGTTTTTTGTTGGACCAAACCATGTTTGAATGATGAAATGATGACGCTGTGGATTTCGTTGGATGGGCTGATCCAAACCAGGTTTGCGCACTTGGATCCAGTCGAGAAACTCACCGAAATGGGTCTGTCTCAGGGTGCCCCTTCGAACCGTCCGACCTGGTTCATCATCAGTTTCCCCTGGTTTAACGACATAAACATAAACTAACATAACCTTTTTTGAGGGCAGATTTACCATTTTCAGACACACCAACAATATCATAGTTTTGGTTTGTATATCTCATTTTAATCCCATGATGTTTGGTACAGATAAGTACAGATCTCCATTTTTTGTTGGCGATCAGACAGCCGGCGATACATTTTGGATTGGTTAAAGCCCCACAGCTGATGGTCATCAAGTATTGTCTGGATCCCCATCTGGCTGAAGAATTTCCCCGTATTTTGTTGGCAATGTAATGTAATGTAGAATGTCCCATTATATCCCCCGGATTGTTGGCAACATTTGCTGGTTCTACTCCATTACATCCCAGTGAAGCCCCATCGAAGCCACATTAAATCATCATCATCATCATCATCAAAATCCCATGCATATCCGCTTAAATCATCATCAAATTCCCATTACATTTCAACAAAAAACGTCCCATTCGACGTTCATCACGCCAGGTGTGATGGCTCTACTGAGGAGCGGCCGATGTCAAAATCATACGACACCCGGAAAGATGGGGATTAAACCTCCAGTTTTTTTGGGTGTACCCCATTTTCAGTGGCAAAGCCCTTAAAAAGTCTAGAAAGTGGGATAAACAATCCTCGTTGGCGACTGTGTACAATCTGCTTGGCCGTAACTTCCATCTGTCATTACGGCAAAGATTGTATCACCGCTTAGCAAGTGGCTTATAACCCCTATTAGTAAATTTTTGAAGTGTACACATTTTCTCCATTCATTGTGTTGAACCTAACTTTCATCAACTCATTGATTGTTGAATCCTGTAGCTATTCACTACAACCATGGTCCTCTTCACCACTTTCGAAGTACGAGTCGAGAATCATCCCACCGGCCGAAACTGGTGATCCGTCAAGAGGTGAGTTGGTTATACCCTAAGCCCTAAGCCAGGCCCTTGCTGTTGGACAACGTGGCATCCATTCAGCAGTCCGCGGCTCTGGCCTTGGGGCGTTTGGCCAACTACAGGCCCCAAAAAGCCATGGGGCCCCTGGAGATGGAACACTCGAGCCATGCCATTCCATGTTGTTTCCCCTTTTATGGGCCTAGGATGGCCTAGGGCCTAGGATGATGTTCAAACATGGGCATGTCCAGGATCTTGTCTGCTGGTAACATCGATGTCTTTCTGGTGAAATCCTTAAGTTTTTGCTGGTTCCGCTGAAACTTCTACTGCTTGAATCCACATTTTTATAGATTGAACGTCACGGTTTCCTCTTGGTTGAAATTAACATAATTAACTCTCACTTTCTATCCGGTGTTTGGTAAAATCATCCTAAGATGTGAGAAAAAAATCCACTGTTTATGGTCTTTGGATTATTTCAACACTCACCATATCCAAAATCATGTTGGCACATCTTTGGAACATGGAAATATCCGGTGTTTGGTGAAATAACTAATCTAAAAACTATCTCAAAAAAGCACTTAAATGTTCTACCCAAAAAAAGACATTCTCTTAACATAGGTTCACCAAATCCAGAGGTTTTTCAGCCGTTGCCATCCCGGTGCCCGGTGCCATCCGATCTCATCCGTCACGTGGCGCCAGTGACGAATTGGCCGAGTCGGTGGTGACCCACGAGATCCTTCCACAGCTTGTGTGCGCCAAGAAAGAAAGTCATGGAGTTTTTCCAAGTCATGGGGCTAGCCAAATGATCCTTAAGTCATGAATTTCATGACTATTTTTCATATCGGATGTATATAATGGGATGATTATGGAATTTAAATGAATTATTTTTCATGACTTGTCATGGGATTTATATGAATTGATATGACCATTTCATCTCATCAATGGATATGACATGATATGACATGATATGAGCATTTTTCATAGGATTTAATGAGATGATTATGGGATCTACCCTCCGGTAATCGAACATGGCTGGCTGGAAAATCCGCGAAGTAAATGGAAGGGACAATCCGCTGGAAATGGGGGAATGTTTGATTACCTGAGGGTACATATCCCAAAATAGGTTGATTTCTGATTTGAACTTTTCCCCCCCAACTGTCAAACATACGGAGTATTTGCCACAATTTTTTGTGGTCATTGAACGATGGGAAAAGTGAGGACAACCCTTTGGAATTCTGGTTGAGTATCTGATCCTCAGACACTCAAATATATAGAGTGTTCCAGTCAAACAAATCTGGGTTCAACCCAGCAAAGACATGTTGTTTTTAAGTAGCAGAATTGGGATTTCAATCGAACAAGAGAGAATTGGACCGGCTAAGCTGGCTTTTATGGTTCACCAGCGGTGGAAACGTAACCACCAATCCCATGGTGGACACCCATTTTGGGCACACCATGGTAATATCCGGTAAATCGGTGCGAACATCACCATGAAATCTGCATCTTTCATCATTGGTTACTTCCGTGAAGCAAAAACGGTGGAGGTACTCCCTGGCACAGCAGAACCGCTTCTACAAGAAGGCTGGTCTTCCCGTCGGGATGAACATTGCGGCTGTGGAGACTGTAAACGAGCCTTGGATGATTAAAATCCCAGGCTTTGAAGATGATTCTAAAGATAGAACAGTACAATCCTACAACGAGAAATGATTTTTCATATATTTTTCTTGGGGAGGTTCTATACACATATTCATATATATATATATGTGTTTATATAGATAGATACTAGCTGATACTAGTAGTATATTATATATACGTATATATATATTATATCTATAACTAACGGCTTATTATAAACACTATAGATCTATTATTATCTACTAGTATAACCATTCTATAGTGATACTAGGTCATGCTATTTGCATATATAGTATATATAGTATATATATATATACGGTTATATATATATATATGGGTATGGATCAATACCTATTAATACCATTTTTAGTGGGATGAACATCCATTTACCAGCTATTTTGATGTGAACTACAGGGGTACTATTGGTTTTGACACACTGCCATATATATATATATACTGTATATATATATATACAAGGTGGTGCCCCCTAGTTATAAATTGGTTTATAAACCCCATTAACTATGGATATATCACCTAATTATGAACCATAGTTATTGGAGTTATAAACCAACTTAGCTAACTATGGGGCACCACCTTGTACTGTGGTTTATTTCACCGTGGTCTTCCTTGCAGGCCGCCGCCTTCGTGCTGCGGGCGGTGTCGAAGCACTCGCCGCAGTTGGCGCAGGTTTGCGAAATGAAATCGCGAAGATTTCATCGTGGAAAGATGGGAATATACCATGGGAATTGATGGTTTTAATATGTTTTAATGGGATTTCTTGGATTTTTTCCATGGGATTCGATGGGATCTAGTGGGAGTCATGGAATATGGGATTGAAATATGGGGCCACTCCATACTAGTATGAATGGAGATGAGCCTCCAGTGATCAAAAATGGTTTGCTAGAAAATATACACTATTTAGATCTAGTTAGTCCGATTTGTTTCCCAGCTATAAAGCTGCATTTAGTTCGGGCGGGGATTTCGCAGCGGCGTCTGATTACCGGAAGGTAGATTGAATCATGAACAATCTCATCAGCCATCAATTAAGATCAATCTACTCAACATCTGCGGTTAAATTAGATCGTTGATAGTAACTAATTTGGACTTGTAATCATGTTTAACCATCATTATTAATAGCAGTGCTCAAAGGCTCTATTGATTGATGATCATAGCGGGTTAATTGTAACATATTGAACGTAATCATCATTTCTAGATTGTTTAGCCATGAAGAATATAGGAATATAGTTGATAGATGATGGTTATTAATTGATGATTTTTGGGAGTTAGGCTATACAATACATTGGGACTTATCATCATGATGTGAAGCCCTAAAAAACCAACCAGGTCCAAGAGGGACAGAGAATCACAAGATAAGATAATTGCCAAATGGTGCCAACAGATGAGGTAAAACAAAACCATGGATTTAACAAGATGGTTATGTCAAAAATATGTTAATATCATGTTAATATAGGTTATAGATGGTTTTCATGAGCCAAATATTAGCGTCATTGTATCTATTGAACGAGATGGTTATGTTAAAAAGGACCCAAAATGGGGCACCAATGGATCCACAAGGAGCGGGTCAATGTTAGTATTTAGCCAGTCATTTTGGGCATCTAACATTTTGAGCCAAGGTAGTTCCAGTATACAATTGATATGTATCTTAAAGAACCACCCAATGATTATTAAGCCTATAAACCATCTATGGTGATACTGTTCCATGATAGATTTTTATATGGAGGTGTCCTAAGTCATGGGGGTACTCCCAGATCATCCAAGTCATGAATGACCACGGCTTGGTATTGACACCTATAGTGACCTGGGTTAGGACTATATAATTTAAATCTCCAAATATAATCAATCCATCTATCTATATTCCATCTATTAATGGTTTATTATCCATTATATCCCATGACATCACCATTTCCTCTAGTTAAATCGCCATGAGTTTGCATAGTTATAGGAATTACATTCCAACTTATCGGGCTAACTATAACTATAACTATAGTGACCTATCGCCTATAGTTCAAAAATTGCTTTAGGTAACAATCTATTAACATTCCTATACCTTTATAGTTATTTAGTTTTACCTATAGTTGTTTTTTGATAATATACACCTATAACCTATAGTTACTAATATAGACCTAATTAATAAACTATAGTTATAGTTAGGTATCACCTATAGTTATCACCAGAAAATTAATGCTCCAAAAAAGTTATCATCATTCTTATAGCCGCAGCCTATAACAAAACTTTATATATATGTGGTTTTTTTTCTAGGGACTTCATCACTATACCCATTTGTTTCTCTATCCCATAGGATCCATGTATGCCATATATGGTAACATGGATCCCATCAATATACCCCAAATGTTAGCATATATATACCATACATGGATCCTATATAGTTATCATCACCTATAGCCTGGCAAACATTATTTTTGGTTTTTCTAGGGACTTCATCACAATGTACCCATTTGTTTCCCTATGTTCATAGCCATGTCATGGGTGAAAATCCCATGGTTTTTTCCGAAACGCGAGGCCGTGGTCGACTCCGGCGCCCTGGAGGCTTTGGTGAATTGCCTGGAAGAGTTCGATCCCTCGGTGAAGGCCCCGCGGTTTGGGCGGGGGTGGGGAATTTTGGGGTGGGGAAAATGGTTGGAAAATGGCTGGAAAATGATGCTTTGATGTGGTTTTGATGTGATTTTGATGTGGTTTTAATGTCTAAGATGGAAACACAACCTATGCAAAAAGGGGGTTGGGGTAAGATTTTCCTGCAAAAAATGGTCGGGGATGGGTCAAACGCTCACAATTTTACCATGTCAGGGGTTACCATCCAGCTGTAGCGCCCACCCGTCAAACAGGTGGGTGTAAGATGATGGATGTATTTTCAAAGATGTTGCTGTTGGGTTAGACACATGGTTTTTTAATCAACTATACATCAGGAAAATTGGGGAAAATGGGACATCAGTTTCCAAGATATTTGTGGTACGTTCACTCCTTTCTTGGGGGCAGGAAGCAGCAGCCTGGGCCCTGGGCTACATTGCCAGGACTGGGTTGAGAGCTGGGGGTCCATCTGGGACGCTGCAACACTTGTGGAATCACGTGGATATTCAGATGAGCTTGGTGGATCTATGATGTGAATCCGGTTACAGTATATATCTCCCCGGCATGGTTGGTGAATGTCAATTAAACATGTTGATCATACATCCCTTATTTTTATGTACAGTCATGAAATCCCATATGGAATCCCACCAACGACTTCACCGCATTACAAGAATGACTTTGACATATTTTGACCATGGGATCTCGTGAAAAGATACGCGACTTCCGACAGTGATGAGTCGATGAGTCCGTAGAGCTGGCAGGCACACCAAAGAATTGGCACAGACCGTGGTGGATGCAGGTCCGAGCAAAATGGGGGTTGGGGCTGAGGATTCCATGTACAAATACTGGGTGTGCTGGTGGCTCACAACTTGATAACTTGTTGATTGTTTGGATAAACTTTTACAGATACGTGATAAAAAAATGCAGCGTCAAAGATCAATCATATTCATCCAATCTTTTCACTTATCCAATTTTGATACCTGTGTTCCCATGTCTCAGCAATGGGACGCCCCCCAAAATGGATCATCCAGGTCTGTTTTCGGATTTCTGTCTCAAAGCTTGGTGGATTGAAGAGTGGCAAACGCCACGCTTTCTGCACATCAAACATGCGAATTGCTGCTTCGGCTTCGACCATCCAAGCAGCACAAGAAATCACACATACCCTCTGGTAAACTAACAGTTTGCTATTGAACATTGTCATTTATAGTTGATTTACCCACTAATAATGGTGATTTCCCATATTTTTTTGTATGTTTACCAGGCCGGGTATCCATGACTTCACGACCACCAAAAGAACACTTGCAGGATGGATCTTGGGGGGGGGTTTACATGTTCAAGGATCCATAGTTGCCAACAATTTTGATGTGAACATCTGGGTCCCAGGATGTCCCAGGGTTGGGAGCGCCAAATTGTCATGCTCCCAGCAATGGCTGATGTTTAGTGCTGAGATGTCTCAACACTCCTGATTTTTTTTTGGTACGTCCAAGTCTGACCTCTGGCAGAACCACAATGAGGGATTGCTTATTACACTTTATTACATCCAAAGTTGATATCGAGCATCCAAAGTGGAAAATCAGAAATGATGATCCCTTACCACCCCCTAACATCCCTGTGATCTTCCCTGGCAACTGATACCTAGAAATCGGAAATCGATGGCATCCCCATCAAACAAAAACATCTGAAATATGGGCATGGTTCCCAACATTCTGATATTTCATGATATTTAATCTCATATTTCCTGATGATTTCTCTCACTTAGTAAACTCATCTTAGTTATTAACATTATTATTAACCATCATTAACGATTAATATTAACCATAGTAACCATTGACCCCCATTAATCATACTATTACTCCCCATTACATTAACCATAGTAACCATAGTAACCATAGTAACCATAGTAACCATAGAAACCATAGAAACCATAGTAACCATAGTAACCATAGTAGCCAATAACTCCCCATTGGTTTCTGTTGGTTCAGAACGGTTGATAACTTGCCAGGTGCTGTGCCGCTCTTGGTCTTGTGCTTCCAAGAGCCGGAGCTCACCCTGAAACGAATCTCAGCGTCGGGGCGCACGGGTCACGCCGTACCTTTTGGTGGGGCCCACCGGGGGCAAATCGCGCAGGGGCTGGGGAACAGAACTAGCTGAATTTGGTGGTTTATGGATGTAGAAATGGTATATGAAATGGTAGATATATCCAACTTATCAGCTATTTTTGGATGTTTATGGATGTTTATGGATAACTACATAGTTATTGAAGGTTGTAATTAGCTTAATCCAACTTATAAAGTGGGTTTCCAGCATTTTGGCTGAAGCCAAAGATATTTGCTTGGAGATCAAACAGTGTGAAACCATATGAAACCACATGATTTTCAATTTGTAGGACATATCACATTTTCTTCGTAACCATTAGAATTGCTCATGTCATATACGTAGTATTAAACCATATTGAATCACATGTTTACACGGTCAAACTGTCCCCTCCACGGCGTGGCGAGGTCCGCTCTCAGCGATATCTGCAAGCACTCACCGGAACTGGCACAGACCGTGGTGGATGCAGGTGCCGGGCTGAGGTCAGAAGTGATGGGAAAAGATGGAGTTGGAAATGGGGCGTTCCAAACTTGAAAACATACAGAACAAATCAGAACAAAAACCAAAGAAATGATCTAGAAATCCGCGAAATCCGGATCTGGTGGTTCGAAACGTTTGGATTATGACTTTCCAGAAACAGTTGGGAATGTCATCATCCCAACTGACGAACTCCCATATTTTTCAGAGGGGTAGGTATACCACCAACCAGGGATTAGTTGATATCGATGTTAGTGAAGGGGAAGTTCATGACTTAGACGATTCAAGAAAGAGATTATCATTAATCATCATGACATCCATTTCATAATTCGGAAATGGCTGGAAAACCGTTGGTGATCGTGTGAAACGATTAGAAACTCATTGTCAGCTTGAAAAACGAGGCAGAAGGGAAATGGACACAGCGACGTTGAGCTTGACCCAGACACCAATCGGACATTGGGAATTTGCAGATCTGAGTAGGATGCAAGATGGAATTTTAGTTGATGGCCATGATTCCAGATGACAATCATCTACCAGTGCCCCATGTTTCAGTGTTTTCCCGTGTCCAGTCCCAGTCCCCTTGTATTTGTGAATCTGTCATGTGAGTGTAACTCAACTTCAGTGGCTTTGTCGAAGCGACAGTTTTGCGGGAAGATTCTTTTGATTTGTTTCTCCGGTTGGTCTATCACAAAAAAGGGGAAGCTACAATTTATTGATGAGACATCTCATGTCGCCCTTATTTCAGCAATTCCAAGAACTTCACATTTCATAAAGATTTAGTTGAACCGTGGTTCTGACATGTGCTAACTATTTTTTTTGATCAACAAACACCTTCCGGAAATCAAACATGGCTCATGCTGGCCCCTTTTTTTACATGATCTATGGGAAAATCATCAGATGATACTCCTGAATTTGATAGAGTTGTTGGATGTTGTTGGTAAGTCACAGAAAAACATCCGCTTTTTGTTAATCTCATTACATCCCTTCAAAAATGTAGCCATTAGATTAATGTATTCCAATTCTCTTAAAAAAAGATTGCACGCAAACCCATTTTGTACCATATTAATTGATTGGTTAGGCAGCTTAAATCCCTTATATTACATGTTTCCCATCAAAAAACAAGGTTTTGACCCAAATTCACATAAAATTCCAGATAGAGCTCATGCAAATGCCAGGAAATCCCATTAAAATCCCATTCAAATCCCATTCAAATCGGATTCAAATCTGATTCAACAACTCCCCCGCGGATTTGACACGACAGGTGCCGTGTCCCTCTTGGCAAAGGACATCTCTCACAACGATGCACCTCTCAAGCGTCAGGTGCAGACATACATCGCTGGGGATGTGGGTCGTTTCCAGCTGGAGATTTCTATGGAATTTCTACGTGATTTCTACGTGATTTCCATGGGATTTCTATGGAGATTCCGGGATTTCTATGGGATTGGCTTACCAGGCACCAAAATAGAAAAACACTACCGTGAGACCCTCTGGTTATGTCAAAATAGCTATTGAAAATGGTGATTTATAGTGGATTTTACCATTAAACATGGTGATTTTCCATAGCTATGTTAGTTTACCAGAGGGTAAATCTGAAAATTCATGAGACGCTCTTAAAGAAAGAGAAAAGAAACTGGTAACTAGTCTTTTTTAAAAAAAATGTTGTCCGAAACTCATAAGAAACTGTAAAAACTCCTGCAGTAAAACCATGTATTGTATATATCATCGATCTGCCCGATAGCGTTGGTTCAAAACAGAGCTAGCAGCTTAGCGGATTTGAGGTTCACCCTATTGGTATTAACCCAATTGTTGGCTGACCTTGTAAAATACAGGTTATCAGCCGTAGTCTCACTACTTTGCTATGGGGACCCCAATTGACCATCCTCTCGCCGTTCCAGGGTCAGGTCCATCGGCCGTCGCTGTGCCCAATGTGGCCGGGGGCAACCCCGAGCCGATGGATGACGAAACAATGTTCCAACCCGTTGTTGCGTACTTTACCTTCATACAAAACAACCTGTCCCAGATTACTAGTGGGAATACCCTGCAAGTCATGAGGGAAGCTGAACAGAGGCACCTTCAGATAATGCATGGAGTAGTTGACTCAATTCGAAATGAATGGTCAAGTAGACTCGTAATGCAGGAGCAGGAGTATGAGCAAAGGCTGCAGGAGGTTGAAGGTAAGGCCATAAGTGCCCTCAACGAGGAGAGGAAACGAGGCGACGAGATGGAGGTCAGGTTGAATCAGGCTCAGGCATCGCATGACAAAAGAATAGAGGATGTAAAGGCAGAGGCAAACACAAAGCATGATCAGAAAATTGCAGAGGAAAGGAAACGTATCACTAGTGAATTCGAAGCTTCCTATGCACAGACAGTTGAACATGCAAAGAATGCCATAGCTGCCACAAAGAAGCAATATGAAGATCAGGCTGCAATTGATCAGGCCAGGTTCATCAGTTTGAGGACTGAGTTTGAGAACTACAAGAAGGAGATGGCCGACAAGATCAACGAGGCAGCGGCTCAGAACCTTAGCCTTCAGGACCAAATCGATGACCTTCAGGAGCAGTTAAAGCATGTTGCCAAAGCGCAGCATGCCTCCGTTCCGAAAGCATCCGTCCAGAATGCCGAGCCGGCCGCTACCACTAGCGTGCCCCACTTCAATATTGCCACTCCCAAAGCATCCGATGCACAGGCTGCCAGAGGCAGTGATGAGCCGATTCTTGAGTTGAAGACGCCTGCAGTGTTGGCACAGGAAGCAAAGGCCAAATTGGATGAGCTGCTCAAAGGTGGCAGTCCCAAGCAAAAGCCGGCTGTCGGCAACGACCAGCCCCAATTGCCAACGCAGTCAGGGTTTTTCACTCCCACTGAAGCTATCAAAACTCCCCCAAATGAATCTCCTAAGAGCGCAACCAAGCAACAGCAAGTTATGGGTCCCTCAGATCTTATTGAATTGGTGAAAGCCTTAACCCAAAGGGAAGAAAAGGATAAGCCAAAAACTAAGGAGGCTGAACTCATCAAGCTGAACAACATGCCCGCTCCGGAGTCATATAGAACTTGGAAGAATCATGTCAGGGATGAAGTGAAAAGCTGTTCAGATCGCCCGGATGAGGCGTGGCTCTGGCTCAACGAGGTGTACGATCAAGAGTGCACCAGAGAGCAGTTGGAGAAGAAACTCCAAGATCCTGGAAAGTTCCTCACGCTGGATACAAAGTTATCAGCAGCGCTCACGCGCTCAGCCGGAGGGGACCTCGCAACTAGGATCTTGAATTTCAAGGAGCAGCAATCCCGAAAAGGCATCCAGGTCAGGGGAAGATATGTTCTGCTCATGTTTGAGGACTACTTCAAAACATCGGAAGAAGCAGGTAGCCTTTACAGAGTAGAAGATCTTTTGGGTGTTGTCAAAGTAGGCGATACTGTCCAGGATCTCCGAAGATTCATCAACAAATGGGATGCTACCCTAGCTGGCATGGCTGTCACCCCTGATGATGCTGTGTTAAGGGACATCTTGTTGAGACAGATCCGACCAAGTCAGTTGCTGAAATACGACATCGAGGTGTTTGACCGTGCTCATGAGAAATCCCATGAAAAGTCTTACAGTTTTCTTCACCAATCCATGAAGAACTTGATCGATCGTGAACGATTGAGGGAGAACAGGAACCGCATCGCGGAGAAGAACAAGGCTGGGATCAAGGACACAAAGGCCGCACCCGCCAAAGGCGATGGTCGCGGCGGCCGAAAGGGCTCTCCAAGTCGCGGTAGATCGCAGGAACGAGGTGGCAAAGGTGACAAGATTTGCTATAAGTTCCAAAAGGGTACCTGTGATAAGGGGAAGAAGTGTCCATTCAAGCATGTCAAAGATGATAAATCTCGAACTCAATCACCCAGAAGAACCAAAACACGTTCACCATCAAGGGGCAATAAGGATGATAAGGGGAAGAAGATGTCCAAAGAAGAAATGACCAAAACCCCATGTATCTATCATGCCCAGGGAAAGTGCAGACGTGGTGACAAATGTTTTTATAAGCATGATGACAAAGCCGCTGCCGCCACCAAAGACACCAAAAGGGCCAATTCACCCGCTCCCAAGAAGAAGGGCAAGGATTCCACAGCCGCTCCATGTCTGATCCAGAAGTTTGCATGCATCGTCCGAAAACAGCCGAAGGCAACTTCGTGCTCTGATGAGGCAAGTGTCAGCATGAAGCGTCTTAGATTCCGAAAGGCCCCACACGTGATCGAGGTGAAGGCAGTTGGTCGTCAAGTCCCAGTCAAGCACCGTCCAAGAGAGTTCACTAAGGTGTACAAGACAGCTGAAGATGTTCCAGTTTCATCAAAGGTTGAACAGCATGAGGCTCAGGTTCGTGCAAGACAGCTTCAAGAAACTGTGAAACTTCATGATTCAGATGTTGCACCAAGTTGTGGGTTTTGTTGTTGGAATGAGGACACACGTGACGTCACATGCAAAGAGTGCAGGTTCATCAGCGGTCCCAAAGCCCTTAGAGACATTGGTCGTTTCCCGTCAATTGCCACAGCTGCGCCAAAGGCCGGCGTTAGTTGGCTTGTTGACTCAGGTAGTGAATCCGATCTTGTGTCCAAAGGAATGCTGAGGGATGTCAGTGCCAAGAACTGCCGTGCAGCCGAGCATCCGATTTCCTTAGTCACAGCCAATGGTTCGACCGAGGCAAACGAAGTTGCTGATGTCAAGTTGTCCGCATTGCCAGATCCTGTGCATCCGTATGTGCTTGATCATACCCCAGCTGTGCTCTCTGTAGGAACGAGATGTGTAGATCAGGGTTACAGTTTCGTATGGCCTGCCAATGGCAAACCAATCCTAGTCCGTCCAGATGACAAGGTTGTCCAGCTCAAGATCGAAGGTCATGTCCCAATCTTGGATGATAGTTGCAAGGTTTATCCCAAAGATCAATTTCAAAAGGATAAGCACCTCAAAAAGTTGTTTGCAATGCCGACCTCACGGTCGAGCTCAAAAGCCAAGCGGGACGAAGCCCAAGATGAAGAGCAGTTGGATGAGCTGGTGGAGGATGACGCTCAGCAGGAGTACATCCGAAGCCGCAAGACTGAGGATCTGTTGGCTGAAGCTGCAAGTACCCAACATCAGTACACGCATTTCCCCAAGAACCCCTTTTGCAGAACCTGCCAACGAGCAAGGATGATGGCACCTCAGGCACGAAAGAAGGGCGGTCAGAAGAGAATCGAAACTGAAGCGTTTGGTGACCACATCATTGGGGATCATGTCATCATCAAGAAAAATGTAGAAGAGGGTTTCAGGGGGGAGCAAGTTGCGTTGGTGTTGAAAGATCTGCACACCCAATATCGGTATGTCTACCCTAGCCAGTCCAAGGACTCACAAAGCTGTGTTGATGGTTTGAATCACTTCATTGGATCAAAGGATGATGTTCAAGTTGTGTACACTGACAATTCCCCAGAATTGATCAGGGCCATCAAGGATTTGGGTTACAGACACCAAACTTCCATTGAATACGTAGATTCATCAAAGTCTTTTGCTGAGCGCGAAGTTCGTCAGATGTTGGAAGGTGCCCGGAGCAACTTGTTGCAATCAGGACTTCCTTTGAAGATGTGGCCATTGGCCATGCAGCATCATGCGACCGCGATCAATGCAAGCCCCCAGCTTGACGGCAGTGAATCCCCATGGCAACTCAGGTTTGGTGAAGAGTTCCCTGCAATGCACATTCCATTTGGTGCCAAAGTGTTGTTCTGGAATAACCCCAAGAGGTTGGATAACACATCAGGTAAGCTCTCCCCAACAGCAAATGAAGGAATTTTCCTTGGGTATTACATCCAACCAGGTCATGATTGGAAGGGTGAATACTTAGTTGCCAAGTTGGAAGCCGCAGATTATCATGTCAACTGGGGTGCACTGACAATCCAAAGAACAAAGAGGTTGGAATTGCCATCCGAGGGTTTCATCTTTCCTTTGAAAGCTCTGATTGACTCGAAAGCACCCAAAGCCGATCGCCTCGAGGACCAGGTCATTCCGCAGACACCCAAAGCTGTGCCTCTTGAGTCCAGTTTGCATCCACCGCAAGATGAGTATGAATACGAGCCAGGTACGCCTCTACCAGCCGACAGCGATGTCGAGCCTGATGCACCCGAAGCGCCCGTATTTCCAGATCTCAAATTGACCCCCAAAGGTGAAATTATTCCAGATGGACATCATTGGGATGGTCACCGGATTGTACGTAACTACAAAGGTTCAAAGCGTCCGGAGGGGATCGACTCAGAACTGTGGAAGATGTTAGGACCCCAAGATAGGAAGCTGATCATCGAGGAAGAAGCAAAGAAAGCAGCCA